CTGTAGTACATCTTGGTATCACATGATGACTGAAGGTTGATCAACTGGTGATGAAGTAGCATCCTCTACGATTGTAGCAAACTGCATTTGTGCATCAATTGCTGTACCTACACTAAGGAATACACCACAGTCTGCTGTAGCACACCATGTAGCAACGTTTTTTGGGTTTTTTTAAACGTTTTTATTGCTCCCAGGGTTGTAGATTAATACAGTATTCCGTCAAAGACATATTTCGGATTGCATAGAATGGCACAATACACTCTTTAAAAAATTAAAAGGTTGGAAACCAACATTGTCCTATTTCAAACCAAAACGGTTGCAACACACAGTCAGGCTCAAACATTTCATGTATCAACAGAGAGTTATGGATCAAATGCTGAGAATAAAGGTGACCATTTTTTGTTAAAGTTATTTTTGTCAACCTTTTTCATAGCAATAATTTTCTCGATGAATATATGTTTTAAAATAGTTTTAAAAGTATATATCTAATTTCGGCTTGGTTCTTTTCATTCCACATGAATGTGCCTTTTCCCCAATACAAAGTGTTAGAGTAGTTAGATTCCAAACCAAATAAGATATTATTTATTTTTTTGTGAAAGATAATTGTTGAGCCAAAGTTCGAGATCATTCCAAATTTGTTTAGTTTCATTACATTCCCAAAAGACATGGATGACGTCCTCATTGACAGCATTACAAAAGCTACAAACACTGTTGTCCACAAGATTCATTGTTAATAGTTCCTTCTTTGTGTAGATAATTCCATGTAGAAATCTGTTTTGAAAATCTAAAAGTTTTACATCCCTCAGTTTATATCTATAAACAGTAAATATCGTTTTCCAATTAAAATTACAGTGAAAAATTTATTGCCATTTATCCCAAACTTTAAGATTATTTTCATTTGATATTAATTTAGCATAAAAGTTTCTAGCGCCTTTCAGAGGTTTGTGTCATTAAGATCTTTCAATCACTTTCATCAGATCACTTAAGCAACTGTTTACATACAAATTCTGTAAAATTATGTTTCTAGTTTTATTGATTGCTGTTTTCCATGATTCGGGTATATTGAAGATTACATATCTATAGTCTAACATTGTACCTTTTATCGGTTATTTTAGTTTCAGTTCTTCAAATGGCATCAGTATATATCTTTAATTGAGTAAATTCCACTATTAGCCCATTGCTTTATGTAGTATGTTGCTTGTTTGAAGTTGTGGTTAAGCCATAATGGTTGGGACAAAATGTCTTCTATATTATCAACATTAATAATATTCTTTTTACAATTGTTCCAAGCTTTCAATACATCTTTCTAGTATGGGTTTTTAACAAAAGATTGCTTGTCAACATTAGCACCCAAAGATAGTATATCTTTAATTTGGATATCACAAATGTTACTATATGTCGTTTTTTTACAATATAATCTGAGTGAAGAGAGTTTTAGTGCGTCAATAAAGGCTCTAATGTTAATCATGCGTAATCCACCTTCCTCATATTTTCTTGTCAAAGTGCTCCTTTTGATTTTGTCTTTATTATTCCAGATAAAATTGTAAAATATTTTGTCAAGTGACAAGACAAAGTCCTCTGGAGGGTTAGGTAGTGTCGAAAATATATGAACTAGTTTTGACAATGCTAAAGTTTTTATGACTGTAATTTTTCCTATTATCGTTAGATTTCTTTTTCTCCAATTTGAAAGCAATCTATTTATTTTTTCTAGCTTTATTTTTGTATTGATTATCCAGAGTTCACCTAAGTTTGGATTAAACATAATTCCTAATACTTCAAATTCCTTATTGTGCCATTCTATTTGTAAATCTTGAGATAAACGATAATTGCTACCCACTTTTGAGCCTATCCGTATTGCTTTTGTCTTGTCTACATTAACTTTTAAGCCAGACATTTTGTAGAATTTATTTAGTGTTTCTGTAGCTGCATATAAGCTTTCATCTTTGCCATTTAGAAATAATTCAGTATCATCAGCATTTTGCCCTTGTTTGTATTCTTTGTCATTGACTGTAATCCCTTCAATTTTATATCATACATCCTAGGATTTCAGCTACTAGGAGAAAAATATATGGCGACAATGGGTCTGCTTGTCGACAGCCTCTTTCATTTGTGAAAATACTGAAATATGCCCAATTTGTATTATGCTTGATGTGGTATCGTAAGTTAGTATATTTATCCACCTTATCATTTCTGGTCCAATCCATATTTGTGTAAAACTTATTTATAAATTGTTTTGATACCGTATCAAATGCCTTTTCAAAATCGATTTATTTTGTCTTTTTGATTCAAAGATAATATCATATAACAACCTTGTGTTTTCTAAAATAGATCTTCCTGGAATAAATCCTGTTTGATTATTATAAATGAGCAATTCCAATATTGATTTTATACAGTTTGCAATACAAGTACTAATTATTTTATAGAGTACATTCAATAAGGTTATTGGTCTCCAGTTTTTTTTATCAATGTTCTGTCTTTGTTTGATTTTAGTTTACAAGTTATCACTCCTCATTTCGTGTCATACTCATTTTGTTTTTAGCAGAAGTACTTTTTACAAATCTGTATATCCAGAATTTTAGTTCTCTCCAGAAAAACTTTAGAAATTCAATAGGAAAGCCATCAATACCGGGACTTTTATTGTTTTTCCTGTTTTTAACTACCAATGAAATTTCTCTAAGCTCAATTTCTTTTTCTAATAAGTTTTTCATTTGGTTGTCGAATGTTGGAGTCTCTAAATTTGTTAAATTTTCGTAACTTCTGTCATTGATTTCAGAAGTATATCATTTTTTATGAAAGTTTCTTAATTCATCCAATATACAATTGCCGTCTGTTATTACCGTATGTAGCAAAGTTTGCCAGAACCACATTGGATCGGAGAACAAAGCATTGCTGTTTTAATATTTCTTGTAATGAACCTGTATTTTCCAAAGTTATCGGGGATTGGGATTGAAAGTTAGCAGCAAGGACATCAACTTAAATCATTGATGTGTGAGGTCACTTGCGTCTGTGCTACTTTCGGGATAAAAATACTTGTACTTGGTATTTATATTATACATACTGAAGGTTTAATGTCTTTATGTATTTAATACGTATGTCACATTCCCGTGAATAACTAGTGGGCAGTCTAGGCAACAGCTTCATGCTTGTTTGATCGGCATTACTTCGAAGTTGAGGGATGACAAGATAGACAATTTTTATGGATAACAACTTCTTTAATACTGTGAAAAGCGACGTTTCGGTATAGATCCTTATACCGTTGTCAAGCAAGACTGAATGAGGGACACAGTGCAGAATATCCTCCACCTACTATATATATTCTGCACTGTGTCCCTCATTCAGTCTTGCTTGACAACGGTATAAGGATCTATACCGAAACGTCGCTTTTCACAGTATTAAAGAAGTTGTTATCCATAAAAATTGTGTCTATCTTGCTTCATGCTGTTGAAAACTCAAGGGGACAACTTGAAGTCGCTCTCTGTGTTATGACACATTACCAACAGTGGACCAATATAAGTGCTGCATGGAGTTATAATACGTTATTAATAGATAAGGATTGGTTGGTTTGTTGTTTTACGCCGCACTCAGCAATATTCCAGCTATATGACGGCGGTCTGTAAATAATCGAGTCTGGACCAGACAATCCAGTGATTGACATCATGAACATCGATCCACGCAGTTTGGATCGATGACATGCATCAACCAAGTCAGCGAGCCTGACCACCCGATCCCGTTAGTCGCCTTTTACGACAAGCATAGTCGCCTTTTATGGCAAGCATGGGTTGCTGAAGAGCTATTCTACCCCGTAATCTTCACAGTTCTAATAGATAAGGAATAACATGCTATACCTGGTGGATATTACGGTATGCACACTCAATGGAGAAAGTATCACACAAAATGAGTCAAATGGAGCACTGGATTCAAATAGTGGAAAATATTTTAAAAACCTTGATACAGACTTGACAAATACACTTGGATTATACAAGAAAGAGAAAGTTGAACCCAACACATCAGCGCATGGATTTAAATTACCCAATTTAGTTCGCTTTCGAGAGCTGTGCATCCATCTAGCTCCAAACAGATTATATTCAATGCGAAAGTCCTTACATTCTACTAACAGCTATTCCAGTCAAAGATAAAATTACAATAGTGGTAGAACAGAATCTTTCTCATCATTACAATATTAGAATTAAAGACAAGGTATTATTACAGAACCCCAAGTTTCTGCATTAGAGATAAAACATCAATCTGTACAAATAGGATATTTGAGTGTGTCACTTCATATTATAAATAATGCTTGATTCTGGGGTCCCCTGAACACATCACCTTACACAATACAATACAGGAACAATTACACAATCGCAATTTCTGATCTTGGAGACTGAGAAAGATTTGATCAACTTGGTATGGAAGGCAAGTTGTATGATTTACACCAACAAGCAAAAATGAGTTCTATCTATGACGCCTACTGTTGTACCAAGGAGATTTAAATGCTGTTTTGGATAAAGAACCAAGGAAAACGTCTTTCTCAATCTCGTCTTCGCTGATGATAATAAATGGATTATGCTCCACCCAAAAATCGGCAAAGAAAATATCAACCACGAATATTCAGGTGTCTGTGAGGAATTGTTCTTTCTTGACTTACCTCTCCCAACCTTTATGTTTATCTCGAATGGCCCCCCATATGTGATAAAGGCAGGTGAAGTGCATCATTCAACTAACATAATGTTTGTTTGGTTGTTGTTTAACGCCGCACTCAGCAATAGCCCAGCTATATGACGGCGGTCTGTAAATAATCGAGTCTGGACAGACATTCCATTGATTGACATCATCAGCATCGATCCAAGCAATTGGGATCGATGACATGCATGAACCAGGTCAGCAAGCCTGACCACCCGATCCCGTTAGTCGCCTCTTACGACAAACATAGTCGCCTTTTCAGTGGTAGTGTCATGCATAAAAGGTGTATGTATGTCTGTATTTCATCTCCATTTTGGACAGGTATGCCTAAAGGTTACCGCCGCATTCAGGTTGGTCAGATCGTGACTTATATCAAGAAGCATCTCAAGGGCAAATACTGGCATGACGCCCTTCGTGTCTGTCAGTCCGAAGGTGCATCACTGGTAAAGATGGATTCAAGAAAGAAAAAAAGGCTTGTGGACATAAAGTTTGGGAGAGGTAAGTCAAGAAAGAACAATTCTTCACAGACACCTGAATATTCGTGCTTGATATTTTCTTTGCCAAGTTTGGCAGTTAGATGGTCAAGCTTTGTAAAGGTCTGATCATGCATTCGATTAACATTACAGTGACTTGTCAAGACTTCACGTACACCTCGTCTCCTCAGTAACTTTGGTTTTCAAATATATATGGGAAGTTAATAGGCGATAACAGATAGGAACAATGGGACTCACTCACTCACTCACTCACTCACTCATAAATATACTACAGTAACTATAGTTTTCAAATATATATGGGAAGTTAAAAGGTGATACCAGATAGGGACAGTGGCACTCACTCACTCACTCACTCACTCACCCTTCCACTCACTCACATTTCCACTCACTCACTCACTCACTCATAAATAAATAAACTACAGTAACTATAATTTTTTAAATATATATGGGAAGTTAAAAGGCGATTCCAGATAGGGACAGTGGCACTCACTCACTCACCCACTCATCCACCCATCCAAACACCCACTCACTCACTCACTCACTCACTCACACACACACCCAAGCACCCATCCACCCACTCACTCACTCATTCACTCACTCATGTATAAATATACTACACTGTTGAGTAGTGTTTTGTTGTCTTCTTCTTTTTTGCAGTTGATTGGATGTGGATTGGTCTGAAGGATGTTTTCAAGAATGATACTTTCTACTGGACAGATGGAGAACCTCTCACCAACATTGAAGCTTGGAAGCCTGGTGAACCATCACATATGTTTGTTGGGGTGGATGAGGACTGTGTAGAATCAAGACATGGCCACAAATACATGGCGCACGTCTCATGCAATCTCTTAAGGGGTTACCTCTGTGAAACTGATCCATTGAAATGACATTTAAAGCTCTCATTTCCTGAATTCTGTACATGAATGACAACCCATGCCATCTCTTAAGGGGTTACCTCTGTGAAACTGATCCATTGAAATGACATTTAAAGCTCTCATTTCCTGAATTCTATACATGAATGACATCCCATGCCATCTCTTAAGGGGTTACCTCTGTGAAACTGATCCATTAAAATGACATTTAAAGCACTCATTTCCTGAATTCTGTGATTTGGGATGATGACAGATGAATCACTGTACTGCGTGTGCGAGGGGCGTTCAATAAGTTTTGAAACTTCAATATAAGACCAAGTCGCAGAATATCTTTTGCACTTTTATTTTTCAATATAATCTCCATTCACCTCAAAACACTTATTCCATTTGTCCTTCAAGCTTTTAATACCACTTTTATAGAAATCCGCAGATTGGCCCTCTAACCACGCATCTGTGGCAGCCTTTATGTCCTCGTCATCCTGGAAGTGTCTTCCACGGAGGGCAGAATTCATTTGCCGGAACAGGAAATAGTCACTGGGGGCTAAGTCTGGGCTGTAGGGTGGGTGATTTAACTGTACAGCCCAGACTTAGCCCCAAGTAACTAGTTCCTGTTCCGGCAAATGAAATCTGCCCTACGGATATGTTTGTTACCTTTTCTTATCATATATATTAAACATTCCTTCTTTCCCTGAGATCCTCTGTGTTTGTTTTTGAAGGCGTGGAGATCCCGGAGCTCATTCCCCGCAACTGTTCTAGGTAATAAACGGTCCTTAAAGCAGACTGTTTCTACATGCTTGAAGTTCAAATCTGTGATATTTTTATTTCAGATTGTCGGTAATAGCATATGTACTTGGGTTGTTTTTTGTTGTTGTTTTTTTTTAGTTGTTGTGGTTTTGTTTTTTTGGGGGGGGATATTTTTTCTGACAGGATCGGGTGGTCAGGCTCGCTGACTTCGTTGATGCATGTCATCGATCCCAATTGCGTGGATCGATGCTCGTGATGTCAATCACTGGATTGTCTGTCCGGTACATTATTTACAGACCGCCGTCATACAGCTGGAATATTACTGAGTGCGGCGTTAAACTACAAACCAACCAACCAATCATGTTTGAAGCTGCTTGATCAGCGACCCAGTTACATCATCGCGCATTTATATCCCCTTGTCATGTGAGTCACATATGGTTAAATGTGATGAAACCCGCAGGGACAGATACGGGCAGATACAGGAGGCAACTCAACACATTGGGAACTGTGGTCTGGATCTGACATTGATCTATGCTTAACATTGGGGTTAGACATTTAGTCAAACAGTAGGCATCGCCATGAGCACCATTGTGCTCCCCTTCTTGCTGATTTTCTGTTCTGACTGGCAAAATCAAAATAAGTGAAGTTGGCCAAGATATTTTACCTTAGCTTCAGGTATAACGATGATCTGATATCGTTCAATAACATTCATATTGCCAAATCCCCTCCACTGATTTACCCACCTAAACTAGATATAAAGGAGACAAGTGATACAGCTTTATATGTTCCTATGTAGATCTAGGCGTAAAGATTTAGGTAACAAACAACACTTCGCAAGATTATGACAAGAGGGATGACTTCAACTTTCCAATGTTCAACTTGTCAGGCAATATTGTAACAGCTCAAGCTTGTGGTGTCTCTATTTGACAACTTTTGAGATCCATGCTCTTTCTTCCAATAGCGCCATGCGACTCTTGCTCAGAGGTTGTTTGAACGACACAATTTGACGTTCATACATTTACACACCGTATTCCAGAAATGACGTAAACACCTACGAACTGCTGACAAGAACGACACAATTTGACGTTCATACATTTTACACACCGTAATCCAGAAATGACAGAAACACTTACGAACTGCTGACAAGAACGACACAATTTGACGTTCATACATTTACACACCGTATTCCAGAAATGACGTAAACACCTACGAACTGCTGACAAGAACGACACAATTTGACGTTTATACAGTTTACACAACGTATTCCAGAAATGACGAAAACACTTACGAACTGCTGACAAGAGCGACACAATTTGACGTTCATACAGTTTACACACCGTATTCCAGAAATGACAGAAACACTTACGAACTGCCTAAAAGAACGACACAATTTGACGTTCATACAGTTTACACACCGTATTCCAGAAATGACGTAAACACTTACGAACTGCCTAAAAGAACGACACAATTTGACGTTCATACAGTTTACACACCGTATTCCAGAAATGACAGAAACACTTACGAACTGCTGACAAGAACGACACAATTTGACGTTCATAAAGTTTACACACCGTAATCCAGAAATGACGTAAACACTAACGAACTGCTGACAAGAACGACACAATTTGACGTTCATACAGTTTACACACCGTAATCCAGAAATGACAGAAACACTAACGAACTGCTGACAAGAACGACACAATTTGACGTTCATACAGTTTACACACCGTAATCCAGAAATGACAGAAACACTAACGAACTACTTACAAGAACGACATAATTTGACGTTCATACAGTTTACACACCGTATTCCAGAAATGACGTAAACACTTACGAACTGCTGACAAGAACGACACAATTTGACGTTCATACAGTTTACACACCGTAATCCAGAAATGACAGAAACACTTACGAACTGCTGACAAGAACGACACAATTTGACGTTCATACAGTTTACACACCATAATCCAGAAATGACGTAAACACTTACGAACTGCTGACAAGAACGACACAATTTGACGTTCATACAGTTTACACACCGTAATCCAGAAATGACGTAATCACTTACGAACTGCTTACAAGAACGACACCATTTGACGTTCATACATTTTACACACCGTATTCCAGAAATGACGGAAACACTTATGAACTGCTTACAAGAAGGACACAATTTGACGTCCATACATTTTACACACCGTATTCAAGAAATGACGTTAACACTAAAGAACTGCTTACAAGAACGACACAATTTGACGTTCATACAGTTTACACACCGTAATCCAGAAATGACAGAAACACTAACGAACTACTTACAAGAACGACACAATTTGACGTTCATACAGTTTACACACCGTATTCCAGAAATGACAGAAACACTAACGAACTGCTGACAAATTACAGGGGGAACGAATACATTCAGAAGCGTTGGTTCTGATCATTTAGATCCTTTATTCTTGAACTCAGCGTTTTAGCCTACCTTTAGAAAGATGCAAGTCCTAACGTCTCATCCATGCTTCATAATGATTTGAGAAGAACTCAAACGGGCCCACTCAAACCTTGTGTGTTATGATTGCACAGAAGCACAATAAGAACGAATTAATAAAACATAATTACAATAGTTGATGCAACATGGAAGAACTAAGGTCTCATCCATGCTTCATAACGATTTGAGAAGAACTCAAACGGGCCCACGCAAACCCTATGTGTTATTATTGCACTTAAGCACAATAAGAACGAATTAATATATCATGACTACAATAGTTGATGAAACATTCTCAATGATTTATTCATTAATTTATCCATTGATGTCCGAACACAAAAAGAAGGAAGAAAATTGCTGGATGTTATTTTCTAACCTCTAATTTTGAATACACGTCTCATTGTATATTCTCTCGTCATTTTTGCTCTTTAGGTATTTTTGTTTGGCATGTTAATGAATATATATACTCACACGCAAAACAAACGCAAGTGGTTTTAAGCAAATCGGTAACAAACACGGAACCATAAATTGATACCAGTTTTAGCATGTAGTGAAGCCTCATTAAAACGCAACATAATAAACGAATCGCCAAAACGCACCATTTCAATGAATATGTGGGTATCATGCACCCATTTCTCGGGAAATCGAAAATGCACGAACTGTCACGAATTGTAGTGGGTATAAAACTGTGGCCGATTCTTGGACCTACCACTCCTTGGTCAACAATGCCACGCCTAACTCAAATTCAGAGAAACAAGGCTATCGGACGTTTGGAAGCTGGAGAGTCTGTCCAAGATGTTGCCCGTCATTTCAACGTTAACACAAGCACAATTTACAGTCTCCTGCATCGATACAATGCTACACAGACCACAGATGACCTTCCTCGGAGCGGTCGTCCTAGGGTCACCACACCTCGACAAGATCGGCAGATTACCCGTCAACAACAGCGACATCCGTTGCTAACTGCAAGTGAAAGTGATCGACAGACCATAGGAACACATAATGGACACATTAGCCTGGGCACTGTGATCCGACGTATCCGTTCCAACAACCTCAGATGTCGCCGACCAGCACGTAGTCCTGTTCTCCAACCACGGCATCGACAGGCACGACTTCAGTGGGCACAGGGTCATCGTAATTGGCGTCATCGTGAGTGGAAGCTTTTCATCTTCTCTGATGAAAGTCGCTTTTGTGTCTCCCATGCAGACGGAAGAGTCAGAATTAATATGGCCAGGGATTGGACTTAATGTGAGGCTTAGACCTATGTGCTTTCTGAATGTTGGTCAAGGTCGGGGACACGGCGTCACTGCTCAGCGGTATATCGGCCAAGTGATCAGACCCCACGTTGTTCCATTTTTTGCACAACATCAACAACACATTTTCCAGCAGCTACCATGGCCTTTCTGCAAACCTACCTTGGCCAGCCCTCAGCCCTGATCTGAACCCCATCGGACACTTGTGGGATGAGGTTCAAAGGCGTCTGCACAATGTGCGCCCAGTCCCTACAACTGCCGATGAACTACGCACAGCTGCTCTGGATGTGTGCAGGAGGATCCCTAGGCCTTCAAAAATCGTCTGATCCACTCAATATACAGGAGATGACCCGATGACCAGGTATTGACCCGAAACTGAAGAAAAATAATTATGTCATCTGCCTTTCAGTTCACTAAACTTCTTCAGTCAAATGTTTGACCATCTCGCCCTATTAGTATTTCTTGCCGTCACTGTTGAAAATAAAAAAGATGTATACTGCACACTCGACTTGCGTTTCTCTTGCGTGTGAGTATATAAT